AATCTACTCCGCCCGGTGCGACACATGCCCCCCGGGGGCTCCGCTCCTCGTCTGGAACGCAGGGGCCCCGCCCCTGGGCTGTTTCATATGGAAGCCTGCAGAAGGGGTAGGGGTGCCCGAGCAGGCCGGGCTGCCTCCCATCGACAGGCGAGCCATAGCCTGGTGGGAGCGCAGATGGAACGCCACCTGGTGCTGTCGACGCTGCCTGGTCCCGGTATGGAATATCGGTCCTGCTACCCTGGACCGCATCCTGGATCGGGACTTTAGAGCGCTATACCCAGCCGAGGCCCCTGTCCTCCCGACGCTCAGCAGCCAGATCGGAGCTGAGGTATCAGTGGACATATCCGAGTCTCTCCCATGGCTAGGCGCGGACGCCAAGGCCCAGGATCGCTTCACCAAGGCCGGAGCGACCAACCTCCCTGGGTCTAGCGCCGCGGGTGGTGCTGCTTCCGCGGCAGAGCGAACTCCCAGGTCCCTAGCACAGCTCATGGAGCTCCTGCCAGATCTGCCAGTACCGCAGGGCCCGCTCCTGGACAACAGGGACGTCAACAACCCCACGCTGAGCCCAAACGACCCCAGGAGCGGACCAGGCAGTGGAGGACTGTCCGCACAGCGACTGCTGGTGACCTACCTACGTGACTTCCACCCTGGGCTGGACTACACCTGGAGACAGTTCTGTCTCACCAACCGCGACAGCAGCATCCCAGAGCCTAGGTGTGATGAAGCCTCCTGGCCGGGCGGACTTCTGACTGATTTCCTCAGGACGGTGTGCGGCGAATGCATCCCTGAGGATTGCGTCCCGCCCAACCAGCGCTGGGAGGGTAAGCGGCTGGCCGCGGCGCGAGTCGTCGCCCACCTCACCAACGGCGAGAAGCATAGGGAGTCCTGGGTGAGGTACGCCTCGATCCTGGCCCCGGCAAGTGGCCTTAGCCCCAGCAGATACGAAATTGGCACACTGACGAGTTCCCTACTCAGCCTCAGCGCCGATGCCCTCGCCTCTGCGTCCATCACTTCCTTGGCCGAGTCACACGTGCAGACCATGGGCGAGGACAGGCCTGGCACCCCTACGGCGGTCGACACAGACAAGTCCCTGGGCACGAGAGACGACGGCTCGCGCCTGGGCCTCCCGGACCCGCCCGACCACACTGTCAAGGACGAGAGCGGTGAAGACGTGATCCCTCCTACGGAGAAGGTGGAGTCACCCGACTATGGGGAACCCCGCGGGTCCCCTCATCCTGTATCCTGCTCGGACTCTGCCACGGAGGTCGACGACAACGGCCCAGGCGACAAGGCGCCTCAGCGGAGCCCAACGGCAGACAGCTCTGAACCCAGCTCCGAACGTGACCCGACTGCTGCCGGGGGTGGCCCGGCAAACACCGACCAAAACACCAGCGCAGCCAGGGGATCTGAGGATGATGAGAGCGCCCGCGACAGGGGCGACGTGCGAACCCGTCGGCCCCCACTGCGTAACCCACAGGTCCCTGGACATAGACCTACCTACCCTCGTTCGACGGAGCGCCATACGCTCAACCTGTTGACCGACTCACATGGGGGCCCCATGTACAAGGTCTGGCTGGGCACTGTGGACTTGGAGCGTCGCGACGAGCCACCCGCCAAACGCCTCGCCAGGTGCCAGTCGGAGTTGGGTGCAGTTTTCTGCGCGCTGTGAACCGCTTACACGCAGCGCGTTTGGCTCCCTGGATCCAGGGAGCCCAAATCAGACCCGAGACTGCACACGGAAGCGACCATCAACAAGTTTCTCGACGACTGGAAGGGCTGCGGGTACAACGCCTACCTGATGGACACGAGGTACGGCTATCGCATTGATTGGGCCAAACTGCGGGCCGACTACCTGCGACGCACCCGACCCGACGGCAAGGGCAAAGGCAACCTCCAGCAGAGCAGCTGGCGAGACCGTGCGACGAGCTCCTGGGGCGCATGGGGCACCTGGCAGAGCGACTGGAGTGAAGGCTGGCACGACGACCGCTGGCAGACGGGAGGCAAGCGTGGTGGAGGCAGACCCGACGAGCGAGACGAAAAGAGGCACCGATGGAGAGACTGAGTTCACTTCCCATACATCCAGCACCTAGACAGCCCGAAATGATAATCTCACTACACACTATGTGCGGCCTTCAGCTGCCTTGCCTCCTCTTTCAACCGTGTGGCAGCCCCGCTGCCCCCCTTCCCTGGTCCACGCACTTCCTGCCTTTGGACCCAAGTGTGTCGACCAGCAATGCCATCTGCTTCGCTGCGTGGGGGGGCGTAGCCCGCAGACCCTAGCTGGCCCCTGGCCCCGCTGTAGTGGTTCTCACCAGTGGCCCGATTGGTCCTGTGCTCGGCTATGCTGCTTTGGGACCGACCGGGGCCCACTCCCGAGACGTGCTTGCACCCTGGGATTCTCTATCAGATAGTGGCCTTCAGCCGCTCCTTGGACTACAGTCCCAGCTTGCGGCATCCTGCCGCCCCTCCTGGTACGCGCACTTCCTGCCTCTGGACCCAAGTATGTGTGCCAGCAATACCGTCCACACTGCAATCTCGTGTTGCGTGTGGCCATAGTGGCCCCTGGCCCCACTGTAGCTGTATTCACCCTGCCAGGCCAAGCCTGGCGCGCAGCCCTGTGGCCGACGACCTGGCGGTTTTCGCCCCGTCCCCAGACCTGCGCTCAACTCCCTGGGATCTTCAAGTTACCACGGCCATCCGCCGTGCCTACCTCTCTTCTCCTGGGAGCAACGCGAGACACGGAGGCACGGGCAGTCCAGCGTCGTGGGTCGCCACGCTACTTGCGGAATGCCCACCTGGACCGTTTGCGCCCCACTCCGACTGGGCCGATGACCTGACCCTGATCAGCGCCGCCCACCGTCGCCGTGCGTCGCTATTCTGACTGCGCTGCACGGTTCTGGAGTATGACGGGCACTCGGTCCTTCTGCGTTCCTCCGTCGCGCATTCAGGTGCGCGTTTCCCCCTGGGACTCTGTGACTGTGAGGGACTTGCTGTCTTGGGTATACGACGGTTGCTGTCCTTCGAGCGCTTCCCCACATGGGTGTGTGGGTCGCCTGGCGCTAGGTCACATAGTTGTTCGGTGCACGTCCATTCCCGAGTGACCTCGCGTTCTCACTGAGTGGCTACCTGTGTACCCTGCTGCGTCCAGACCAGATCGCTGGTCCTCTGAACGCAGGCGCATCGCTCTGCAGTGGGTCGGGTCTCGCCTTTGCCTGTTCGGCCTCAGGCTTTCCCTTCCGCCGCGGATGCGTTTTCTGATGCTGCGATGGTTCGCTGGCGCTGTCAGAATCCCCCTCCTTGCTGGACGACGTCACCAGTTTCAGTCTGCTCATACTCGTCAGACTCCCTGGACGGATTTTCGCACGGAGATCGTTCCCACCACCACGCGGTTGTCTCGACACGATCGCGACCGGGAACGCACTGCGCGCCATTTTGGCCGCGCCTGGCTTGCTCCTGGGCTGACCCTCAGACTCCCTGGGTTGCAGCTTGCACGACCGCCTCAGGTGACTGACCTTTCAGACTCCCTGGGATGGCACGACCGCCTGGCCTCTCAGACGCCCTGGGTTGCCACCCCTTCGCCGCCTGATCCGCGGCTCCCGCGCGCGCCCGGGAATGTAGTCGCGGCCGCAGCCCGACCGTGACTGCTCGCCGCCGGCGCTTCCGCCTGCGGCTGTAAAAACAAAAAATCCCCACAAGCCCATCCAGAAACGATGCCCACAGGAATTGCCTGGATCAGGGAAGTGGGCAGCACACAGAGGAAATCATTATGAGACATTTGGGTTATCTTGAGCCATCTTGGAGGTCAGCTTGGGCTGTTCCAGGCGCTCTTGGAGTCATCTTAATCAGCGCTCCCCCCTAGGGGCCAACATGTGGCTAAAGCGCGCGTGGAATCAATGATTTGGCATTCTCGTCGAGGCCTCTTGGAGCATCTTGTGTGCCTCTGGGGGGTCTCTTGGGGCCTTTTGGGGGTCTTTGGGGGGCCTCCTGGGGGCCTCTTGGGGGCCTTTTGGGGCCATCTCGGGGCCATCTTGGGACCTCTTGGGGCCTCCTGGGTGCTTCTTAGGGCCATATTGGAGGAGATCGATCAAACAACAGAGGGGGTATTAATTAGCGTCCCCCACCCAGGAGGCCAACACGGGGGTCAAAACCATGGTAAAACCACTGATTTTGGCTTCCTCGCCGAGGCCGTTTTGGCCTTCTCGCCGAGGCCTCTTGGAGCATCTTGGGTGCCTCTGGGTGGTCTCTTGGGGCCTCTTGGCGGTCTCTTGGGGGCCTCCTGGAGGCCTCTTGGGGGCCTCTTGGGGCCATCTTGGGGCCATCTTGGGACCTCTTGGGGCCTCCTGGGCGCTTCTTGGGGCCATCTTGGAGGAGATCGATCAAACAAGAGGGGGGTATTAATTAGCGTCCCCCCCCCCCAGGAGGCCAAAATGGGGCCAAAACCCTATTACTACCAATGATTTGGGCGTCCTCGCCGAGGCCGTTTTGGCATTCTCGCCGAGGCATCTTGGAGCATCTTGGGTGCCTCTGGGGGGTCTCTTGGGGCCTCTTGGTGGTCTCTTGGGGGCCTCCTGGAGGCCTCTTGGGGGCCTCTCGGGGCCATCTTGGGGCCATCTTGGGACCTCTTGGGGCCTCCTGGGCGCTTCTTGGGGCCATCTTTGGAGGAGATCGATCAAAGAAGTGCGGAGCATTAATTAGCCTCGCCCCACCAGGAGGCCAACAATGGGGTCAAAACCCTAGTAACATCAATGATTTTGGCTTCCTCGCCGAGGCCGTTTTGGACGCTCTGACACCTCGCGGTCCCCCCCTCCAGGTCCACGGGGAGGGGCTAGGGGGATGGGTAAACCCCTCCCCGAAGTGGAAGAAGGAGGGGTGGAAGAGGAAACGCCCTAAACCACCGACGCCCAGAGGGCTGGTGGGACTTGTGAACGATGAGGACGTTGCCCCTCGCAACGTCCTGAGCTTGTCTGAGGCCTTGTCTCCGCCGGTTCCTGGCCCCGCAGGCAGCGGACCGAGGGCCGGGAGTTCACCCGGATGCAGCTCCTCGGCCTGAACCTTGTTTGCCTGATATTGAACGTGGCAGGCTCTTATGATGAACCTTCGAGAGGGCCCCGTCTGTGCTGTAACCCCCGAGACCCCCTCGAGCCGCGCAAAGCTCACCACGTGCGGCTTTTGCTGTGTCCTGGCTGTGGGGGTCTTCGCCTGGCCCCGGGACCGTCGAACAAACACTCAGGGTGAAAAGCCGTCCCGGGGAATGGGTCGAGACATCCAGGGATCCACGTTGTGTAAAATCATGGCGTCGGTAGTCTAGGTATATCTGACCTGGGTTAGATGTGGATTCGGACTCGACGCGGATAGCAGTGCGACGGGACAGACAGGGCCCCCGCGAATTTTCAGCATGAAGGTTCGGTGATGTTTGCGGCCTCCGTCGCGATAGGCGGCGCCGTGGCCACGGTCCCCTGGCTCGATACACGGGGTTTCCTCTCTGCGCTTGAGTTTTTTCTTGTCGCTTGGGGTTGAGGGAAGGAGGAGGTTGGGGCGGTAGGACGTGGACAACCAACGAAGGTGATGAAGAGGCGGAGGGGGAGAGGTGATGGAATGGAGGACCAAGCAGAGAGGAACGCCTCACGTCCGTATGCGTGTGGCCGGGACCGCAGGTCATGCCGCTGCAGACGGGCGCGAATCTGCTCGCCAACATGTTCTGGCAGGTCTACCTCGACCTGAAGCACTTCACCAAGTCCATGCGGGTGGGCACGCTGATCTTGGTGTGCGCGGTGGCCGAGCTCGTCGACATCGGTCCCCAGGAACCGGACCAGCAGGTCGACGTGTCTGAGCTGTTGGCTCAGCCGCTGGCCAGGGCCTGGATCGCCGTATTGGCGATCTGCACCGTCATCTCGTTCGTCGCCTGCTATCTGACCAAGGGCCGCGAGGTGCGCTCTCTCGCGAAACTCGGCAGCTTTGCCATGGCGGTCTCCATTCTGACCGTGCTCGGCGCCTCCGTTGCAAAGACGTTCGGTCTGCTTAATGGCTTCCCGTTGATGGTGGCGGAGGGCTCTTGGTTTTGCTTAGGGGTCGTCATGATGGGTCTGACCCTGCTGGCGAACGCGGGTACGGATGTGTCCATGTACATCCCCGCCCAGCTTTCGTCGCAGCTACTGATCAACATGGTGACTGGCTTCTGCGTTTGGCGCGATGCCGAGTACATCAGCTCACCACGAGCATACTTGCTTGTTTACGTGATCTGCATCATGGCGGTGTACCTGATCAGTGCTGGACTTAGCTTGTTAAGCAATGCAGTACGCGGTGAATGTGCTATGTTGCATTAATTTGCTCGGCAGCAAGCGAGAGGGTAAGGATGCTCTCGCAAACTTGCCCTGCCGAATTCCCGATCCCCTCCCTCCGTGGTTTCTCATCATACCACCTTCCTCTCACTGCTCCTGTATCAGCTTTCCGTTTTGCGAACTCCCTGTGTGGATTTCTCGAAATTCCAGTGGCATTTGGCTTTATCATGTCCCCTTTCCCCTTGCCGACCATCCGACACGGTCTGCACGCGCGCTCAGGAACAGCACCAAACAGCTTCGGTATCTTCCTGATCTCTGTAAGTAGAATGAGGGTAGACGATTAAGAAAACACCCCCTTTGCCCCGGGGTGGGGCGCCTGCCTAGCGTGTAGGGTACACGACGAAAACCTGGGGGCTAAAACCTGTTCTTGTTAGTCGTCCCCCCCCCTAAGATTTGTTTGGGCGTCGCGCTGAAACTGATTTCGTAATTGCCCCTTCCCCTGGTCCCCACCCCCCGCAGTGCGGCAGTTGCGAGCCTTCCATCGGGGCCCTTCGGATTCCTTTGTAAGAGACGGAGGAGGAGGAGGAGGAGGAGGACCAGTGTAAACCTAACACGCATTAGCGGTGTGTGTGTGTGTGTGTTGCACTAGGCCTTCCCTCCAAGATCCCTCTTCACAGGGCCTTGTGCGAATTTATCATGATTGCAGGACATGCCACATTAGAAAACAAACGTTTGGAAATCCCCAATCGTGCCAGAACACCACTCCTGGGACTTCAGCGTCGCGAGTCACCGTGATTGCTACGCCCTGACAATCCGAAGCAGTGCCAGCACACTATTCACCACTCATGGGACTTCAACACCGCGACTCATCATGACCGCTACGTCCTGACAGTCCAACATCTTCGGTATGTTTTCATCTGGGGTAACACAGGGCTCTCCACACGCGCGCATGGTGTGTTTATTGTCCACGATGAGAAAAGCAGCAATTTTGGCCTGGAAGTTTCACTGGGCCCCTCGCGGTGACCGCATGTATACCCAACTAGACATGGGTTCCGGTGCTCGCACGCATGAGAATGTCCGTAGTGCTCACATTTGAAAAATGCGGTGTTGACCTGGAAGCGAACGTGATCCCTTAGCGGTGACCGCTTGAATTTTCAAGTGAACGTGCGTTTTCACATGTCAACCAGGCGGTGCACCACGACGCGCGCACGCGCGTGCGGGTGGAGAGCACATGAGAGGAGGGAGGTCGGCATGTTGGCCTGGAAACTAAAGTGGGACCTTAGCGGCCACCGATTGGATTTCCAAACTAACATGCGTTTTCACATCAATAGGGCGGTGCAGCGTACGACGCGTGCTGGTCGAGAGGCTTGTAGCGCTCGCATTAGAAGAGTCGCCATGCTGACCTGGAAGCTAAAGTGATCCCGTAGCCGCCAGCAGTCGACACTCCAGGACAACATACGTTTTCACATGCCAGCCCTGTGATGCAGAGTGCGACATGCGCGCGCGGGTGGCGAGTTTTGTCGTGCTCACATGAGAAAGTAACCATGTTGGATTGACAACGAAAGTGAGCATATGTTTTCTCATGTAATTCAGGTGGTGCGGCGCGCCACGCGCGCGGGTGGCGAGTTCAGCGATGCTCACACCAGGAAGGTCGCCATGGTGGCAGGAGGTGAAAGGAAGCGGGGGGGCAGAGGGGAGGAGGCTGGAGGGCGGCGGGAGGAGAAGAAGGAAGGCGGGACAAGGTGCGAAAAAGCAGCCCGCGGCGGCCACGTCCTCGTCGGTATCGTCGTCGTCGTCGGCGCCGTCGTCGTCGGCGCACGGCTCGTCCACACAGACGACCGCGACGACGACGACGAAGACAACGACGACGAGGGCAACACCGCCGCGGGCTTATACCGAAACAGTGCTCAGAATCGTCCTCCCCTTCGCGCCGCCGCCCTCGCGGCGCCCTGGGCGCTGTCGGAGGAGGGAGGTGCGGGGGGAAGCAGGGGGCTTGTCGGCCCTCGGCCCACGGCGATCAGCATGCTGGGTCGTCAGCCCGCGACGCCACCCCCGCCCAGGAACGCTTGGGGAAGCTCTGGGACGGCAGGGGGTCGCCAGAAGGGGGCTTGTGACCAGTCCGAACTGTCACCCTTGTCGCTCTAAATTGTCGGCCCCTGGTCCCCCCCTTGGCCTCCCAGGCGGCCCTGGGGCCAATCTGACTTGTGTGCCCTCCGTGGGCCGAGATCCTCGGCTCGCAGGGCCAGCGGAACTACCTCTTGACCATCACCCCCGGATTCTTGTCTTGACCACCTAACCATGCTCTGTTGGCTTGGATGAAACAAGGCAGGGCGCACAGGCCCAGAAGCAGTGGGCGTAGTTAGTTCGTGACGAGAGAACTAAATTGGCCGGATGCGTAGGCAGCCGTCTGAGGTAACGAGCTGGACATTGCCGGCCAGGCGACGCGCTGCTTATTGACCCGTCCTTGTGTACCCTTCCTCCTCCCTTTCCCCCTCTCCTTTTTCAGATATTTCCGTTCCCTTCCCCCATCTGCTCTTTCCCTTGATCCCCCTTTTTTCGTCTCGACCTTTTGTGCCTGACTTTCCTCCACAATGTTGGCCGCCCCCCCTTCATCGTCTGCTCTTCCTTCCCCTGCTCATGCTCCTGCTTGCTTCCTTTCCCCCATGGCCGCAGCAGCCGTGTTGGCTCATGGCCCCCAGCCCTAGCGGCCCCCACGGTACACATTCGCCTCGGCATCATGTTCGCCCAAGCACGCCACCTCCCGAGACCGGAGGGACCGCGACGGTGGTCGCTCCAGCGAGCCCCTGGACACCCGGCCTCGCGCCCTGTACCGCGCGGAGGAGGAGGAGGAGGAGGAGGAGGAGGAGGAGGAGGGGGAGGAGGAGGAGGAGGAGGTGGAGGAGGAGGGACGCGGCGCAGCAGCTTTGAGAGGGGGCTCGGCGGGAGCGGCAGCAGCAGCCGCGGCGGCGTCCGCGGGCAGAGGCGGCCGCGGCCGCCCCCCCCTCGGCGCCTGCCCCTCCGAGGCGGGTGCCCTCGGCCAGCTGGTCCTCGGCACGCCCGTGCTCCATGCTCGTCCCTCCTCCTCCACCTCCTCCACCTCCTCCTCCTCCTCCTCCTCCTCCTCCTCCTCCTCCCCCTCCTCCTCCTCCTCCTCCTCCTCCTCCTCCTCCTCCTCCTCCTCCTCCTCCGCGCGGTACAGGGCGCGAGGCCGGGTGTCCAGGGGCTCGCTGGAGCGATCACCGTCGCGGTCCTCGGTCGAAAGCTGGGCGAGGGCTGCTAAAACGGCGCTCCCGGAAGGAAAAGACAACTTCCTGGAAGGAGGCGCGGCACGCGAAACGGCCAACGGGCTTCTTCCTGGAAGGACGCAGACAGCTTCCCGGAGGTCGATTTTAGCAGCCACGGATTGAGCAGCCCTTAAGCCCGGCTTCCGACTCGGCACGATCGGCCCGCTGGCGGACCGCGTCCTGCTCGCTCCAAAGAGAGCTGGTGGGGCGCCGCCCGGAGTCCCACGTCTGCACCCGCCGGGCAGGCGGCGTGCTCGGCGGCACGCTGGACTCCAGAGGTGTCCCGGCATGATCTGGAGCTGCCGCGAAGTCGCGATGGTATGGCCGATGCAGACAGGCACAAGTGCCAGCACAGCCTCGCACGTGGCGTTCGTTGGGCATTCGAGCATGGCCCCCCTTGTTGAACGCAGCCGCCCAGCTTTCGTGCCGAAGACCGGCTAACACTGCCAAAATCGCCACAGACCTTCAGAAGACCCTCGCAGACCGCCCAAGACCGTCAGAAGACCACCGAAGACCGCCCGAGGCCGGTGAGCAGCAAGGGGTCCATGGTCGAGCACGTCCAGTTCGGAGGCGAGGGCGGCAGCAGCGGCAGCCAGAAAGCGCAGGGGCGAGGACCCGGGGCTCGCTCGAAGGCAGCGGCGCCCACCTTGGGACCCAGCCTGCTGCCCGGCAGGCAGCCTGGCGGTGACCACCTGGGCGGGGGCCTCGAGGAGGAGCGTGGGCGCTCCCAGACAGCAGGGACGCCACGTCGGACCCGCAGGGGAGCCCGTCTGCCCCCAGCATCGTGCTGATACCGCGAGGTCGTCCCGCTCCCGAGGTCCGCGCAGCCGCGCAAACCACGCCCGTCTCGCTGCCGCTGGAAAGCTTCGCCGCGGAGAGGGCGGCTGCTGCGAGGGGGCAGGCCTGGGCGGCGGTCCTTGCAGGCTGCGCGCGTGCCCTGCGCTTCTGCCGGCGACGGCCTCGGGGGACAAAACGCCCGCGGGAAGTGCAACTGGACGGGAAGATCACACCCAACGCAACGACGCCACGGAGGGCAACGCAAGAAATGGGATGACGACATCACCCAGCTCCTACGCACAACCACTGCGTACGACGGCGGCGACGACCACGAATGGTGGACACACACACACACACACATTGCGAAAGACAAGGGGACACAGAAATTTGGTCGGCGTTGGATCGCAACTTTTTGGAATCCGTCAGTGTTGGAGGCAGCCAGCGGGAACAACGAGCAGGCGGAACACAACTCGGCTACACCAGGGCCTCAGTCCCCCCCTCTTCCCTCTCTCCCCTCCTGTCTCGTCGTCGTTGTGGCCCCGCCTCTCCGCTGCAAAGGTCCTCCATAGCCTCACAGAAGGCTTGCTGAATTTGGCTGCCAGCACGCATGATCACATAGAAACGTTCCAGATGTCGCCGAGGACATGAACACCGCGGGACACATTTAACATACCCCAGCAGCAAGCAGATGCGGATAAGAGTGAGGGAGCGGTGGGGACGTCGGTAGTCTGCGAGATTCTGGAGAAGCCCGCCGCAGGCGCCAAAGCTTCGCAAATTACACAACGAGCCCGCCGCAGTCGCCGATTTTTCTTCAAACCAATGTGGATCGGTCGCGGGTGGGTCGCGGGTGGGTCGCGGGTGGGTCGCGGGTGGGTCGCGTCGGGGATGGGTCGCGGGTGGGTCGCGGGGTGGGTCGCGGGGTGGGTCGCGGGGTGTGTCGGGGGCGGGTCGCGGGGTGGGTCGCGGGGGGGTCGCGGGCTAGGTCGAGAGGTGGGTCGCGGGGTGAGTCGCGGGGTGGGTCGCGGGTGGGTCGCGTTGGGGACGACAACAAACAACAACAACAACAACAACAACAACAACAACAACAACAACAACAACAACAACAACAACAACAACAACAACAACAGCAATTACTAGCACGTGGGGACACACCGTTCTCACCAGTGCCAGGGTTTTCATAGGAGGCGGGCAATACCCCCACTTTGTGGGGGGGCCGGTTCAAGCTCTACCAAATTTCCAAACGACTCTTCGCCACCACCCACACCCAGCTTCCCGCCCTATGACGTTCGGACACTTCACTTCGTGGCATGCGGACGACCGTGGCTACTATTCAGGGCCCCGCGGCCGACGACGACGGCGTGCGCGCGCGAAGAAAAAACGAATGTGTCCCGCATGGTATTATTTGACAGGGATGATGGCCCTGGCAGGTGCGCAACCGTTGTTGCAGAAGTTCGAAAAAGTTGCTCGCAAAAGCCCGTTTGACAGAAATGTTTAAAAAGTGTTGGGTTTCCTACGAATCCGCAAGAGCGCGCGGGATGAAATTTTGACATTTTTTTTTGAAAAACCATTGGTTTTTGATGTTTTTATGTTAAAATCGCTACGAAAACTAAGGTTTTGGAAGGATTTCGTCTTGCGCGCGCGAATGTCCACTTTACCTTATTTTTTGCAAGGGATTCTTGAAGTTTGGTTATGTTAGAACAAGAAATGTCCACTTTAGCTTATTTTTTGCAAGGGAAAACCGATCGTAACAACACAACCGGATCCGGGAACCCGTTTTGCCTGAGACTTCCTCACGAAAATGAAAAAAATGAGGCTGCGGCCTAGGCGCGGCGGGGGGGTCGTGCACCAGGGGCCCCAACAATAATTATTCTTTAGAAGTAATAATGTTCAACAACAACAACAACAACAACAACAACAACAACAACAACAACAACAACAACAACACCAACACCAACAACAACAACAACAACAACAACAGCAACAGCAACAGCAGCAACAGCAACAACAACAACAACCACAACGACAACGACAGCGACAACGACAACGACAACGACAACGACAACGACAACGACAACGACAACGACAACGACGACGACGACGACGACGACAACGACAACGACAACAACAACAACAAGCAACATCCTCACCACGAATTCTCACTTCAGCCACGCGCCCAGGGACAATGAATGACCGTTCGGTCCCCTCACTCTGACAAGAACTTTCACACACCGCTCGAAAATAGGAGTACTTCAATTCAACACCAACCCGAGTAATAGTGGTTTCTTTGCCGGATACGTGAACAGGCCAGGAAGTGGGACGACGGCTCAAGATCGTGGGCAAACAGCAACACAAGTATAGAGCAACGAATTGTTGACAAGATTTTCTGGGGCAAATCAAACACAAGCCCCTGAATTCAGGGCACATGCAACATACAATCCGTATCGTGTGGGCCAGCGGCATTGTCAAATTGAAGCGAAAGAAGGTCACAAAGGTGGGCATGCAGGGGTCATCAAGACATACAATGAGGGGAAGGAGGTCTAGAAGGAGGTGGAGAGACACATACAGGATTGGAGGAGTGCACGAGCTAATGATCTTTGACGATGTCCACTTCGGCGAGAGCATGTTCCAACAGCCAGGTTTCAACGCCGTGATCAGGCACACGTACCAGTACGAGAAGCCGTACAACCTCTCATGACTAAAGAAAAGTTTGGCACCAACTCGAACCACTACAGAGGGCAGCCAGGGAAAGTACAGTGGTTTAGGTTGAGATCTCCCCGCTAATTCCTTACCAAGGTCATTTGTTTCACCAAGCTTCATTTCCCCATCTGTCGCTTCACCCGCACCCCACACCTACACCTACTTTCAGGACGCTGGCTGGCAGGACTGTTCCCGACTCCGCAGGTCCGACGACGATTTTCGCCTACCTCCCTATTCCGGCTCCCACCGATCCCGGCAGCAGCGATATAGTGGAAAGCAGGTGGTGCCCGATGGCCACGTCATCCACATGAATGTTCCGGGGGTTGGCCACCGATGACAGAATTACACCAGAGAGAAACCCGAATCAGTGGATGGTTTTCGCTGAGTAGATCGACCGGGAACTCGGGAGCCCGGGAACCCAGAACCCACCGAAATCGGCCCAGAACCAATAACCGGGAACCCGGGAACCCGGAACCGGGAACCCGGGAACCCAGCCTGCTACCAAGATCGGCGGGAATTGTTGGCCAAATCTTTCAACTTCCGCTAGGACCCCTTCAGTGCAAGCAGTGATTGGGGAATATAGACATATAACGGCGCACCGGGCCTGGGGGCCGAGGGCCGGAACGTCGACGGCAAGTGTGGGTCCCGGGGCCCGGCTCGCCTCTGGGAGGACTATAGAA